CGTTATTCCTGGAAGTAACACCTTGTGATTAGGCATGCAGAATGGTACGTCGTGCAAAGCCAGTGGCTGTAAGACTGATAGGCAGGGTTATTCCCGTTTCTTCTCTCCAGCATACGTAGGTCGTCGTATGCATATGTTCGCACACCGATTGACGTTTTGCACTCAAGGGAATGCACGAGGTCACACTGCGTTAATTTCCTTGCCACTCATTTCATTCATTCATTTGAAATACGACCTTTGTGTGACGAATCTGCCCTCTCTCATATATTTCAGTCTTAACTGAAGGGTTTGAAAAAATTAATTTTGTTTTTTCAATGATATTACAGGGTATGTAAAGAATGAACACATGTAGTAAATCGAGCCTCTGTCGGTATAGCCGGTCTTCGGGTCGAGATTTGAAACCGGGACTTCCCGAATACGAAGCAGGACTGCTAACTTCTCGGCCAAGACGTTCATTTTGCCAGCATTTCAAACAGGGTGAAATTTACCTTCGTTTCCCTTATACGTCTTCGTGGTGTGGTACTTCGGCAAGGGTTCAGCAAATTTGTCACTGCCGTGAGATACATTGACGATTCAGATCTTTATGGAGGGCAGAAGAACAATATTAATAATGTCGTGGACGCTAAGAGGAACTGTTTCTTTGCTTGGAATGTACCTGGAATTCACTTTAGAAAGGATAATAGCCGTATATCTCTACACAACTGAGTTTATTGTAAAAATGTATGCTAGCTTTCAGACAGTTTTGATTTATAGTCAATGTTAATTTTTTAAAACATCAGTTAATACCATAGTAGTCTTTAATATTCTTTTATTAAATCGTATATAGTTTGTAAAATTATAGGCCTGTACCTATAAAATATTTGTTAAAGTATTTTTAGCTGTCGCCCTTCTGCTTAGATAATGTTGACTACATACACATAACGTTCTTCTCAGCAGCAGGACATGTTTACCCTTCTCCCATAGGTTAATTCCTAAACCATCTGACGGGCTGCAGGTTGCCGACCCCTAGCTTAGGCAAAGGCAATATTTCGCTTAAAAATGTGGGAGCGCCTTGCGGCAACAAGGATCCTGCCACCGGTGACCGACGTTGAAAGGATCCATCATCACGATGTTGCTATGATAAATGCGGACCCACCCACGCTGCTGAGCAGGGCTGTGCTCTGCAGAAGATGCCGTTAGGCGAAGTACCGTAACTGGATCTTTAGGTCAGCTGCAATTACAACCGCGGCAGCGTTCCATTAGCCGACTGAACACACCCGAAAATGTCTTGCAGTTCACAAAATTGTCACACAACAAACGCTGTGATAGAGTGGTTACCTCTCGTGATTCGTATTAGACATGTCTGGGGTTCGAATCGAGATCTGGGAACCAGGTATCCTCTTAAATATTTTCGTGGTTCCTATAAGTCCTTCCGTGCATCTGCAAGACAGACCACTAGAGCTTCTGGAAGAGTGGAATTGGATTATAGCCATTAAAGCAGCGACTCCCACATTTAGAGTAGAATCATTGCGAAGCTGACAGTAGTTCAAACAATGAATAAATTATCGGTACTTCATGGTACACGAAGGGTAACTGGCATGTTTACAAGAGTCCATCACTGGACCCAATTCTAACCCATTTCGTATACTCACTCCCCGTTTCTTTAAGATAAACTTCAATAATATCCTCTCATGTACGCTTGGGCCTAGAATTGAAATGACGAACCACTTTAATTTCTTATACGAGGGTAGGTCTACGAAAACAAATGAGTGTGCAGCCTACAGTGTTCTCAACTCAGTTATTGAGCACAGCATCGGTTTCAACATCCACTTACAAGTAATTAGAGCAGTGTCGTAAGAGGATTGCTTGTACTAGTTTAAATTAATTCTACAGCACTGTTGGGCACTGTGTGGCAATTTTCAGAAGGCTGTGCGAATTTCTTAACAAATCCAGAAGTGTTTTTACCACATTTTAGCAATTGCATGCCTGACATAAATTCACAAGTCTAACATTAACAGTTCATTAAATTCAACGCACGTAAACATAACACTTGTTTTATTTTGTAGTTCAGCGCAGAGTCACTAATGGCTGTCAGAAACTGAACTATTAAAAGAGATGAGTATAATTATTTGGAATGGAAACGTTTTGCAATCCTACAGTGAAAGTCTCAACAAGTGATGACATAGGCTTTGGATTTTTCTTATTTCTAGTTTTGGTTCGTTATGTATTTATTACTTAAAGAAAACACTGATTTCAAAATGTGCCTCCTGCCTTTCTGTTTACTCCAATATTAATCTGTTTCGAGGAGAGGAAATAAATACCTAAATAAATAAACTAAATCCAGGTCTGCGTTCGTGCGTGCAGAAGACTGGCGTTACGTAAAATAACGCTCGGCGAGAGAAATTCAATATGGTTCTCGGCGATGTCAAAATATCACTACTTTATTTGTGGTTTATATCATGACGCTGCTAGTAGCTCAGATTTTATAGCGTAGAATAATAGAATTATTAATGAATAATAAATTTGAAATGATATAAAAGAAAGCAATAATGACCTAATTTAAGAAACTACCCCGACATTTTCCTGGCGGGACAGACTAAGTCCATTATTGGTTTCCGTGGCAATATTTGATCCTTCTACGTTTTTCTGCAAAAAAAATAGCAGCGAACGTAGATCAATTTATTTATTAAACTCCCCAGACAGAATGGAAAGGAACGGTGGAGAATTTTTTCTTTTTTGTGTTTAATGATATCAACTCGTTTTGGCGTGATCTCGGATTAGTGTGAAGCCTTTTTTTATTTTTTATTTTTTATTTAATGATATCAACTCGTTCTGGCGTGATCTCGGATTAGTGTGAAGCCGTGGAATGTAGAGTTGACCCGGATTTACCACGCTTGGGATGTCTGCCACACAGGAATCCTGATGATTCCCTGCTAATAGACGTGATAGACCTTCACCCGTCTTTTAGCCTTGTTTCTGAAAGTAAAAGCTGTGTGACGCTGTAAATAAATAACGTCTATGCATTCTAACGAATTTGATACACATAGAAAACATAAAGTACATACGTTCCTGTCCATTTCCTAGGTTTGCTTTCACTAAATGTTTGATGAATTTAGATAATGTATGATGCATCTAGCATCAAAAATCGATTGGATTTTAGTTTGTTTCTGAATGATCCATTATGATATACAATATGGCTTTATCTATGCAAACGCAACTAGCAAGGTAGTTCGAGTCTCGTTAAATTTCTCACAGAATAATTCAGTGTGAAGCCATGGAGTGTAGTATACGTGCCCCTGATTTCACGCACTTGTAGCAAACGTAATTCTGAGACAGACTGTACTATTTTCTTTCGCAGAATTGTTGAAATTTGAAGACAGCGCTTGTTATGGAAATTACTGAGGAAACTGGGAATTTGGCTTCTAACAAAGTATTTGCTAATGTTACTGGTCGTTAAGTAGATACGGTAACTGTGTCTTGCTCCTTAAAACTTCTGACTGCTTAAATAAACTATATATTTTCAATACTTCTCCCACTCTTGTGCACATATTCACCAACATTCATATGATAAACCGGTTTCTCTGATAGCCTCTTACTCTCGTACCCAGACAAACAACGAATTATATGCATCGCTGCTTCGATTATTCGCTTCTGAATGCTTTCTTCACGAAAACATTCCATAACATTTATAGGATCTTCCCTGTTATCTGTCATCTTAATCCTCAGTACTGGACTGGACGATGGAGGTTCGATTCCCAGTAAGGATGAAGAGTTTCTTTCCACCACAGCGTCTAGACCAGCTCTAGGGCTCACCCAGTCTGCTGTCGAATGGGTGCCGGAGTGCTCTTCACCGAGGTAAAGCGGCCGTAGCGTGAAGCTGACTACCAACCTTCTAATACAGGGGATACAAATTCATAGAGTTGTGCCTATACTGTCCCTGTGTCTTCACGGCATGACTCTTCACTAAGCTCATGACAACTTTACCTTACGGTTCAGAGCTAGTCTCCAAAGCTGTATGTCCATTGGTTCTCGATTCTCATTATTGATAAATTCGATTCACTCGCAAGAGGACTCATCTCGTTCACTCGTTCTTTCTCCGCATTCATTTGTGACATTGGAAGTTACGAAGAGAACGTCATTTGGGTTATTGGTTTACTTTCCTGTAAAATTTAGAGCAAAGGTATTGAAAAATTATCGTTCCCACCCTTCATAATGACGATGATGATGTCAGTAATAATTATTCTTGTGATGGTTCATGAAAGTTGAAACTGAAGCCCACACCTGACCTAATATATTAGTTCTATTCGATTTTCACAATCACTCACTTCTTTTGACATCAGTTTTCATTGCCTTCTCAACGCGGTGCAAGTGGCGGCTTTACAAACATTTCATACAATTTCTACACGAAAAATGAGAAGTCGATAATCGCTCAGCTATCCAAGAAATTCCCTACATTTTCTGGACTGTATGGTCCAGTGCCGTTCAGTGTTTATGAGGCTACCTATTCATGGAACGTGTTTCATTTTATAATTGAAATAATGCTAATAGGCTATTAAAACATGATATTAACACCATCATGCTTATCCTTTGAATTAACTGCAGTTGAAGAAATTATTTCTGTTAATAAGAAATCAGCTTGGGTGGTCTATACGCTGAGGAATTCTGACGACCAACGTCATAGTAAAACAAAACAGAAGTGATAACTTCATCTAAGACTGAAGACTGAAGGCCGAGAGCAGAACGTCTCTGAAGACGAAAGCCTGAAAATAGGTTCCTTCATTTTTTGTAAAGTCCGCTGTGACGTAATTTCCTTCATTCATCTGTATTTTTTTTCGAAACATTCTTCTTGGCAGTCTCTAATTGTTTCACCTTTTTCCTCAATCCACACAGAAACTGTTGTTTTTAAAACTCGATAGGTCAGTCCGTCCATTCTGTGTCTGGTAACTGGCAATGGTGGCAGCAGCGGAGAGGTTGTGCATTGTCGGTAGAGGCCATCCATCTCGTCATATCTCTCCAGCAGCTGGAAGGAGCTGGAAGGTAGTAGCGAGTGACAGTCGTACTGGAGCGGATCTGTGGCATGTGCCCTAATGTTGCTCCGTACAGTGAAATGTGATACCATGGTGTACCTCATTCATCGCGTGTTCGTCTCAAGAGGAACTATCTTTACTGACTGATACATGTGCAAGTGATACTTTACACACCAGTTCGCCCATCAATTTAAACAGTGAAACAATTCTGAAGACAACTTGTGACTTCCTGAAATTTATATATTTAATAACAAGAACCAAAGTGATATTGAAGATACCTGTAAGAACTCTGAAGATATTATTATTATTATTATAGTTATCTGACACTATACATTATAGCAACTGTATAGACATTAAGATACGTCAACTGAAGATATTAACGCGGCACCAGCAAATCAAGTTCCTAAACTAATCGCCGACGAAAACAAACCACCCTCAGAACCAAAGTAGAAACTCACGCCGACAATGGCATTGATGAATTTCAGCGTGTCATACACACCCACTGCCACTCCTGCAAGTCCGTTTTTGGCTGCTGCAGCATCAGCAAGTGCCATCAGTGGTTTTAATTCTGCAGCCGTAAATTCCTTACTGTATTCTCAGTCTGCACACCACCAGCAAAGAGCGGCAGAACAAGCTTACAGAAACAACGTTCCTCCCCCACCTTCAGCACCAAACAGAAGAACGACAGCTCCTAGAAGACCTAGCAATGACCCTTACGGCAACGAAGAACCTCCTATACAAGACCAGCAGTCACAACAGAGGTCGCCAAGATATTACAGCGATGATAATTACAGGAGCAGCAATACAGCTGGAACATCACAACGGTATTCCTCATCGTCAACAAACAAGGATGAATATCCTACAAGACCATCAGGATATACAAGAATAGAGAACAACGAATATAGCAATCAGCCTGGGACGAAGACAGCTCTCCATGCTGTCCTAGATTATGATGATGATTTTGATGACTACAGTTACGATGATGATGACGTAGATGTACCATCGTCTTACCAGCATGGAAGTTATCCTGCTGTGACACCCATACAAGGACCGATCTTCATTAAGAATGGAAGTGTTCCTGTCGTTCCACTGTACTCATATCCCGTCCTCAAGAACGGGACATTCGTCCAGATACCCGTGAGTACATAACCTCAATATGTGCATGATGCAATTGGGCTACTGGCACTGGAGGACCTAGTGAAACTCCTGCTCTTTAAATGTTCTGCGTGTTAGAGTAAATAAGTATGTGTGTGTGTGCATAATTTTGAAACAAGGAAACGCACAAAGTATTCAACAGTTGTGTTTTATCTTATTTTACGAAAAAATAGACCCATATATGTCGACTAAAAATAAATAAATGTGGGAAATATTTAAGGCTCTCGAAGAGGCTGAAAGGGTGGATACTGCGCCTTTGTTTCCCACCAAAACCGCCACTGGGGCCCTGTGGAATCCACCGCTGCTAAGAGAAAATATTCTAGTGTTGTAACAGAGTATGTCTCGGGGAAGTAGAAGGAGGAGAAAACCACGCAAATATAAGGCTAATTTAGAATGTCCGAAGTTTTTAATTTATACTGTACTTAATTTAGTCAAAGGAATAAACCTGAAATATTTAAAATCAGCCATTGTTCCAGAACAACATATTAATATCAATAAGGCAGAAGTCTCAATTCCTGAAAACCGAAGAATTTAATTGACTTCATTAGGTCGATGTCAGAAACTTCTCACGTCTGTCTTTTGTTCTACGCTTGTTCTTGCTAACTGTCGTTTAGATCAAATTGTATTTATCGGAATTTTTACACACGTTTTCCAATTTTGTTAAGCTTAATAGGGTGTTTGCCATTTTCAGTGCTGTATTGACATTCATAAGCAGTTTGGTACCTGTTGTAAGCTTTCGAATTCAATTTCAGTGAATCTGTGTCAGTTGAGCATATTATTTTGGCGATAATCAGACGCGTTTTGGATAGAGCAACCAGTGAGTATCGTCCGTGGCGACGTATAATAAATGATTCTTCGTGGTAAAATAACTAGACACTGCGAGTAAACTGATGATAATGATGACTTGCTAATTTAGGTCCAGTGGATGTTGTTGAACGAAATGCTGGGGTGAGAAACCACATACAGAAACAAACATCGGACGAACGATAATTAATTGATAACTTCCGTTTTATGGAATCAAATTTTCATTATCGTGCTCACAAAAGCCTTCCACTATTCTTATGATGAGCCCTAATGAATCCAGTCTACATCCTCTCACCCTGTTTATTTTAAATACTTAAAAGACGACATTCTATAAAATATCCCGAAACGAGTTTAAACATAGAAATGAAACACATATAAGAAAGCAGTACGTACTATGTTTAGTGGGATTTGAGGTTTTCACGGCGGTGAGTCAGAAGATGGCTGTTCTCTGGGTTGCAGTCTGGTAGAAGTTTACCGACGTTTCAGAGCTCTTTGCTGCCTCATCATCAGGGCGATCGCGGAAGACAGCAATCTTTGTAGAATTTTTGTTTTTTTACAGAAGGAGTAAAAACTTCATGAGTATCTTGAAATAACGTCTTCTTTCTTATGTCGGCTGTTGAATTTTGTAAATACCGATTAAGATATTGAAGGGTTTACGATTGAGTATTCCTAGATGTATTTTTTTTATTAAATCAGTATATCTTAGATTGGGATCAGACCATTTCGCGGCCAACATTGTCACACGACAACACAGGAAATGTCCCGAGTGGGGTTCGAAAATTCGATCCCTTTGCTTTGGAAGCCAAAGAGCGTCTGACAGTGAGTAGAGGGTCTTAGAAAAAGGGGGAGCAGGGTCAGAACGGAATGGACACCCGTGACCTTTTGTTTTTAACTGGCCGGCTAACGAACTCTAGACAGCAACGGTAAATAGCTATATGTAAAAAGTAGTGCCTCATCTTACATCATCTTCATACCATATATGTACGTACGTTGACCTTCGGAACAACTCGTGTTAAATTAATTGCATTTCAAGGTCATCGCTGAGTGGCTTTTGTATCCTTAATTTTCTTTCATGTAACAGAACAAAAAGTGCGTAAACAATGACATTCGTTCCAAAATATTAAAAATTAAACGCATAATGTTATGTTATTTTTAAATCGTATGAAGTTGGATTTTTGTTGGATTTGATGGTGCAGATTGGTGGAGTGGTAGGGCAGAATACCGTCAGATTGGAGATGAGCATGTGGTTGAGTAAAATAGACGAAGAAAGAATTTTTGGTGGTCATCTAAACCGGGAAAGGACTGAAATCCAATTCTCTACCTGCTGCCTGCCCTGAAAAAAATTTATTCATGAGTCGATACCATGACTGACTCACTAAGTGACCGTCAGTAGGAACGTGACATTGGACCTGGAATGCCTGCCTGCCTTATACAAGGCATTCAGAAATGCCTAGCTATTACATATTCACCCTGAATATGGCAACCGCAATGTTTTCCGAAACGTTTGATTCTTTTCAACATTCCACGCGACTTACTCCTAAAGCCCGAGTTGTACATCGAACTCCACCCGTGAAAACCTGAGGGCAAGAACTGTAATTTGTGTTCTTCCCTATGAAGAGGATATAATAATATATTGGGGCGGCTCCAGGCGGGCTCGCGCCCTGAACGACAACAGTGTTAGAACCGAGTAACAAGAGTGTACAGAATATGTTCTTCCATAATTTTATGGTGAGCATAATTTCTACAGTATTCAGAGGTCCTTAACATGGACTGGGAACTAAGAAGTACTAATAGAACCTGAATGGTAACAAAGTAATTATTGATCCGTCACACACCCGCTTACTAGTCAGCAGTTGATCAATTTAGTTTTCAGAATCAAACCTCTCCAACCTGGTTTGTCGTACTCTCACTTGTGTGGGTGAGTCAGAGGCAGCTGGTTGGTTGCTCCATATAATAACTGTAAATATTGCGTTACTGAGGCCACGTCATTACTGTACTATTGGAAGGCAGAGGGAAACTTCCTACGAGCGCTGCCTGTCGTGTACAAACTCCATAGAGAAGAGGTCTGCTTCAGAAGCTGGTAGTCATTCATTTTGTCAGACATGTTACCTACGTTTCATGGAACCCAAAGGTTCATTATTGCATTTATTAGATCCTGCTACCAGTCGCTGTCCTGGGCCAGATGAATCCAGTCCACACCCTTCAGACATTATTCTCCCATCAAAGCGGTTGCTGGTTTAGTGACACCCTTGTCCCAACAAACCTTATTCTCGCGATTCCTTACTGATTGTCCTGCTCCTACTTCAAAGAACTTGACTAACAGAGATTCATGGCTTTCTATATTCCAGACATCGTAGAGGTCACTGTCTTCTGGAATTCTATGCCGTGATATCTTGTAGAAATTGAACGACGTCTCCATCATCAGAGCGATATATCGATTGTTGGCAGTACTCGATTGCTTATTCAGTGTATTCGCAGCCTTCCTGAGTTGATGGCGGATATTGGATTTGAATATCTGTAATTGGGGTTTAATTACGCGGAAGATGGGTCCAATGGCTGAATGTCTGAGTAGTATAATGAAGTAAGGAGTTCCTTAAAAGCAGAAAATTGCCCCAGCTGCGTGACTATTAACTTCAGAAGAAGACATTGACTGATTTATTAAGTAGTATAAATGTTTCTAATATAAGTATGACAATCATCATGCTTTCTTTTTATCTCGCCATTTAGCGATTCTGAAACTTTTCATAACCACAGACCGTGCTACAACACTGACTTTTCCGAGGTCCGGTATCATATTTGTTTCAAATTATGTAATTATGCGATTCAAAACTAGTACTAATCCTATAAAGACAAACCTCAGGCCTATTACCGCGTTTAAAAAAAATTTTAAAACAGGTTACAACATAAAAATGAAAATTTAACACACGCCAAAATAACCGATACTAAACATTCGCAAATAAAAATGAACTCTTCAAATGAAAAGTAGTGATCTTCAAAATAAACTTTTTGGTCAATATAAGGAAAGACGGACGTCGCTAGATGTAAAATGGCATTTTTTCCAACTGTAGTAGTGTATACAGTCCAATGTGTGTGTGTGTGTGTGTGTGTGTGTGTGTATGAAAGCGAAGTAGAATTAGGGGACCGACAGCGGTTCGCGAACTACGCGTTGAGAAGCACCACACAGACACAGTAGCTGTCTCACTCAGGTGTGGTGTTGTGATATATGGGTCTGAAGAGACGCAGGAAAGCGAGATGGCAAGACGATATCTATGCTAGTCATGCAACATCAAGAGTATCCCTACCCATTAACAAGAAAAGTTCACGCAGGAAACATATAATTAAAGTGGAATAAGGAGATACATTACGGCAGAAATAGTGAGACATCAGAACACGTCAGAGAACACAGTCTTCTTGGCTGTTTTCTAGATCTGGGAGGAGTTGTGCGTGTCCAGGCGATGCTATGCAGATCGGCACAACAGAAACGTCAATTAATTGAAAGTAGCGTTTTTATATCGGAACCACCTTGAAGTCTTATTCCCGTTTTTTCCTATCTTAGCATAGTATGAATCAGCTTAGCCTCACTTGGTATGATTTACACATCGCCCCGATGATGGAGGCAGCGTGAGTCTCTGAAACGTTGGTATACGTCTACCAGATTACACGGTACCACAATCCCGAAGACAGCCATCTTTGTACTCATCACCGCGAGAACCTCAAATCCTACGTAGCTTAGTAAGTTTTAAAGGCGATACGAAATTTTAAGAGTAATGAATTATAGTCCTAAGTTTAAGGTTATATAAATGGCCTGCCAAACTGTTGCTGATAAAAGATAGAGACGGGATTGTAACATTTGTGACGCTTCTCTGGAAGATACTGTGTTTGATTGCAGTTCGCTCTGTCGAGACAAACGGTGTTGCCCAGCGTCGTATCTTCTCGCGAACACTGTCTGCACAACACGCCTTTCAGTCTCACCTTTTTTATTCGGTTTTTTCTAATGTAGTTCTATATATTATTTTATTTTGGCAAGTCATTATTTAGATTCTAAATTTTGTTGTTGGCTTCACAGGACTTCGGGTCATTCATAAATTAAACATTCCAAGCTAGAACTAACCAACAAGTAGAACTACAGAACCATCTGTTGCGAGGTGCAAATGGATGAGTTTTCATAATAAAAATAA